TTTTTAAGGATTTCATCAAACATGTAGTAGGTAGTAGGTGGTGATGGTGGTGGTGTTGGTCGTGGTAGTAGCAGTAGCAGTAGCAGCAGCAGCAGCCGCAGCAGCAATAGCTAGTAGCAGTGCAGTAGCAGTAGCAGCAGCAGCAGCCGCAGCAGCAATAGCTAGTAGCAGTAGCAGTGGCAGTAGCAGGAGCAGGAGCAGCAGCAGCAGCAGGAGGAGGAGGACGAGGAGGAGGAGTAGTAGTAGTAGTAGTACGAAAAATTGACCTGGTTGTGGGCTCGGATTATCTGGGGGGGATTGTTGGTAGAAAACCAGACCATAGGGGGGGAAATCAACAGGCCAATAATACTTTTAGTTTGGGCAATTTCCGGCGGCTTTGTGGGCTCGGATTAACTAGGGGGGATTTATTAATCCGGACTTGACATTATATACAAACTGTTGGGTTGCCCGGTTTTGCCCCGATTACTAACTAGAACTCAGAGCTTCTATTTTTGTGATTTGTGGATGGGAACTTTGGGCAGACATTTGTTTGTTGGTCTCCTCCATGGCAAACCAGCTTGTGATGTGACCAAGTGCACAATATACAAACGCACTGCAAATCCAGAACCCTCAACTCAGTGGTTTGGCCACCTGGAGAGTTTTTTTTGCAACCTGGCACGTTTCTCAACCTGACGCAATGAGGTAGCACGAAAAATGTTTTGAGCATTTGGCCGGACTTCAACATGTACCGTGAAGCGCGTGCCCTTCCACTCCAAAGTCCAAGCGCCGTACGATGGACCTTGAAAGCCCAATTCACACTCCTGAACTCTCCTGAATGTCTGGATGGTATATGCAGGTATGGAGGCATAGACCAGACAGAGAACCTAGTCATCTCAAGTTAATTCCTGCCTTTTCCTGCCCTCCCAAGACACCGTACTGCTGCACTTGTCGGTGAGGGAAGTTTGGCGGCAGCATGGAGCGGGCGATCAAGGAGGTCCGAACGATGCTTGGCACCGCATGAGCTTTTCTAAAGCAACTGTGGCACGATGAGCCGTAGATAGGTATGGGTCAAGCAGCAAGCAGTTCATTTGTATGGCAGCTGCGAGTTGAACTCCTTCTTGCTGCTCAAGCTCGCTGCGAGTTTATGGGTTCTGATCTCCTATACAGTGGCGTCGGTGCGACGCAAGGATGGGCTCTTCCTTCTGAGCATGTACGTGAATAGACCGCACCAGTTGTAGTTTGCAATTCTTTTCACTACTCAGAAACTATGTAGCAACTACAGACTGAATTGCCAAGAGCTCCCTGTGTCAACAAAATGCCATGACCCAATTGTCACAGTGTGTCCCCTTTCTGGACCTAAACAACTTTGGGAGTTCACGAAATGCGATCCGTAAACTCCCACTCCATCACATGCATTTTCCAACCAAGGGCACCTTGTGGGCCAATTCCTGCTCGGTGCCAAGCCCAATTCGATCTTAGGATGCAGACCACGGCGCGCTCGCAGATGGCCATGACGATCAACAAGATGGTGAAGCTCTACTTGGACACCGCTGCTTGGCGTTTGCACTTGTTTGATGCAACTTGCGGAGCTGGAAGGCAGCATGTTCGATCTATCAGTCTTCTTGTCCTTTGCCACTACACTTTGGCAGTTTGTTGCTGTTTGTTTGTTTTTGTCTACTGCACTTGATGTAAAAAACATATCATATATGTATACGCCTTGAGCCTTTGAGTGGTTTTGCGTTGAAGATGTCAAATTTGGGTATCATTCAGCCAGTAGTTCTTTTGGGTCCTTTGGGCATGGTTACACTCTTGTTGGCTCTCAAGGCAGGAGCTCTTGAGCGTTTGGAAACTTTTGAACTCCTTGAGCTCCAAGGGTTTTTGGGCGCTCAGTTGCAGCTATTTTGCAGTCGCTAGTTACGAAGGACGGTGACCGAAAGATTTCAGAGAAGGAGTTGGAAGAGGACAGCGGGTGTGGGCCTTGCATGCACAATTTAAACTCCCCGTTCATCGTTCTCAGTGGTAAGTGTTCTCTGGCCCATACTGTATCATACTGTCTCATCTTGTACCTGACTTGGCTCGGATCTAGACGAGCTCCTTTTAATGGAGACAATGCACCAGATATTTCACAGATGCGGTTTGGAGAACGATTGTTTAAAACAGCTCCAGTGGTCCATGATGGCCTCGCTCTTTGACCAAATCTCGTTGGAATCACCTCCCAGCGTATGTGCTGCAGAGTGGATGGCTTGCACTCCCCGTCAAGTCGAGTTTCAGCATCGGGCTCCGGCTGTGCATCGTTGTTCTTTGCAAGGTTCTTGATGAATCGGGGCTTCCCGGCTTAACGCCCTATCCAAACCCAGATATGCACTTGGCTCATGTACAAACATAGCTTTGTGCAGGCTTTGCACGATAACTGCTACAAAAAAGTGAAACCATGTGAAACCTTTTAGCGAGCTATGGTTGGTCAAGTTTGTTTCGCCCCCGGCCCATGGCAGGCGACGCAAACCATGGCCGACATTTTTGGTGCCATGATCAAGGGCCTCAGGAGACTGATTGGAAGTTGGTTTGATCCCGAAGCCTGTGGCAGGTCTTTCCTTCAGGGTGTATACTTTTCCGTGGATCTTTGGTCTCTCTTCATTTGATGGCTCTGGGGCCTGAGCGTGGCACGTACAGAGCAATAAGAGGAAACACCGTAATCGTAATTGTACTGTATATGATTAAGGCTTGCATTCCGGTGGGATCTTTTAGCCATCAAGTGTTTGAAAGGGTTGGGCCATTTACCTAGTTACAGAGACCTGTTTGTAACATTTTGTAACCTCCACACAGCCGCCCTCACCATGCAGGAATGAGCGCTTGCCCAAGATGCTGGAGGGCATCCGAGGCCACGACCCCTTCTTGTGGAGCACTTGTGGCAGCCATTCGTTGAAGGGAGAACTCCGGAAGACATTCTAAAGCCCATTTGGAAGACAGAAGCCCCAAGAGAAGGAGAGAGAGCAATAATGCGCAAAACAAACAAATAGATATAGACATAGATATATATATATATAACTATATATATAACTGGAAGTTAGAATGCCCCGGCGATCTCCAAAATGTAAACCGATCGAGTTAGAAGGACCCCTGTTTGCGGATACAAAAATCCCCCTGTTAGAATGGGTGTGCAAACTGCTATTTTCAGGGTGTACCCGAGGGCGCTTAGAATGCCTCCCACTTTCTGGATGATTTGGATGGCGCCAGCACATTGAAACTTCCGGTCCGGCACTATTAACGCACTTTAAGGGGATAGAATGCGCATGTGTTTCATGTCGTTTCTGTGATGTAGTCCGTCACTATATGTGGGTATAAAGATATATTACTTTTCTGGCAAATCCTTGGCTGGCTGTGCCAAAATTTGTCATTCAACAAATTCAACAGCAGATGCTTCAACACTGGAAGTGAGTTCAATTCACTTACTGCAAATTTGGGCGGAATCAGGTCGCATGCAATTTGGTGCTTTCTGTGTCAAAGTGGACAGTGCAGTTCACTGAGAACAGGCGCGCCAGCTGTACGTATCACACACCTGCCAGGACACAAGTCCTTTCTCAAGGACAAGAGTTTGAGCCTGGATGCCTTCTCGAAGGCCGCAGCGTCTCCGACCGCTTGGGTTGGATCTGAAAACATTGTGAGACATGAATGTCAGAATGTTCTGCCCTTTGTTTGGCTGGATCCAATTCGAGATCATTTGCGGCGAGCGTGGCTCAAAGGCCTTCGAGATCACTCTCTTCGTGCCCGACCCGAAGCAGGTTGTGCAGGCTGTGCGGGGCACCATCGACGCTTTGATCACCAACTGGGTTTTCTTGGGGGGCTCGGGACTTGAGGCACGAAGTTCAGACCCGAAGTTCATGTAAGGGCAAGCTAAGTAGCAAGCTATTAACTTCCACGACCTATGCACAAATTAGCACTTGACGACGATGGGTTTGTCCACCAGCACTTCTTTAGTGGTATGCAGGGGCTGCCATCGATTGTCGGCAGGCGTGCTGGGCACAATGAACATCAATTGTCCAAGCCGGTAGACCAGCAGAGGGTTGGGCCTTTCCTCATATATACACTTTTCCAACTCCACTGAAAGTCGCCACTTTTGAAGGGGTTGGCGCATGTTGCCTCCGTGTGTTTGACACGTTTCGACCCCCTGCATGCAGGGGATTGCAGGGGGTCCTTGCCCAATCTCACGTTTCTCATGGGTTTTTCTCATGTTTCACATCCACTGACCATTCATTCCCTCTCCTCTCTCCTCCATCACCTGCCAAGGACGACTGGGAAAAGAAGGCCGCCGACCGAGCGGCCCGGCGGAATCGATCTCCCTGAGCGCCCCGCCCAGAGAGGTCGCGTGCCTGTCCTGAAGAGGCAACTGGGATGGGGGCTCAAGCCCGTTCCAGCCCTTTGCTCAAGGGCATGACCTTCTGGACGGAACTGAATTCATGCAGGCGCTTAGTCCCGAACCCCCAGAGCGCGCTTTGGAGCCCATGGCGAAGTCATAGGCTGGACATGGCAGAAAGGAAAGCTTGCAGGTGACGGTGATCGGCACCAGGTCATTATAGTTAAGTTATAGTGATTTCACGACTCCCATCCAGAACGACGACTCCCATCTAAGTACTAATTCTTGTTTCTACTAGCTTCTTGTTACTAGTAGTAAGGCCCTTGTTCCTAGCAATTAGCGATGCTAGGAGCCCCTAGTAGCGTCCTTGCTCCTAGGGTCTCCCAGAAGTTTTGGGAGTTTATGCCCATTACTCTTCATACGAGTGGTGATCATGGAGCAGCTGTCAATTTCTACAGCGCAGCATGTGTTGGCGCGACTCTTTTCAGCCGTGCCGCCAGGTCTACAAGAGCCAAGTAAGAGCCAACCAACAACCAATACACACCAACCAATACTTCACAAGAGAAGGATAGGACTTATTGGTTGCTTAGGAAGTTTTTTTTCCATAACGGCCTCTGGAGGTTGCTCAGCCATTTTCTCCCCGGAAGATCGACATGACATAGCACTCAAAAAGAAAGTTCCCGGAAGACTAGACAAGTTGTTACGAAACCTTGTGGTGTAGAACTGTGGGCTGGGCCGAATCTATTGTCACCTGTAGCTGCCACTTTGCCAAAGTTGACGTCTGCTTCCTGCAACATAAGCCTTGCAGACTAATTCACCCCGGCACGAACTGATGGTCATCAAGATGTTTTGACAACAGCCTTGGTTAACCAAAGGCTCAAGTTGCCTAATGTTACATAAAATCAATCAACCATTGCTTGCAGGCAGAACACTTTTGAAGGCTCAGTCAGTATGAGTTTGCTTGGCCCCCACAAACATTTGTGTGTGTGTCTCGAAAAGCGGACCTTGTATGGACCAGCATTTGTGCCTATGGGTGGATGTAGAATTAGAATAAATGGCAACAACTGCCCAGGAAAACCGCCAAGTGAGTGTTGCAATGGACCCGTGGAAGCATCGGTATTTGGTTAATGCTGGGGGAGATGGTCTGGTTCACCATGTTGCAACACCATTCGAGCCACATTTCAAGAAGATGCCGTAGCTGCTGAGTTTTTGCACAGCTGCCCTACTCAACTTTCTGTTGATTTGTGTTTTGTGCTGCTAACTGGATGTGCTTGCTTAGCCGCCCCTCGCTTGATTGTTCAAACGCGAGACATGTTTGTTTTGGGTCTTGTGCTCACGACAATGGTGAATATCAAACTGTAATCTGCTGTGAGACACCCCCCACCGGAATCGCTGCCCCCACAGGAGTTCGGCAACGATGCAGTGGCAGTGGCAACCGCTGACACCTTAGCGCAACAGACCAGGTGGTGGAAGGTCGTGCCCGCCAATGAGTGTTCGCGTCAAAAGTCTACATCGTTTCTGAGATCATGTTACGTTAGTATGCTTGTGTACTGAAGAGCTGTCAACATTGTCTCTCCGGGGCCGGCCTTGAAGGCCACGTCAGATGCTTTGACGATAATGCCTTCATTATCTATCTTCAGAACCCTAGGTTTATATATATATATATACGATGGCTTTCATCGTTTCCACTGGTTTTCAAGCGCATGTACTCCAAGAAGTCTTACTCACGTCTACTGTATCACATCTATTCTAAGCTCATCATTGTCCGCCATTCATTTCATGGTCCCAGGACCGGCCCCACTTCCAGCTCTACCAGTCCATCGATGCGGTCTTGAAGGACCTCGTTGCCAGCCCCGAGGCAATGAGACGGCGATGGGGGGATGTGCAGGGCGGGTGTGGGATGTTGGTTGGTGCCTTACATCTTGGCACGTGGAGGGGAAATCGTGAAGTCATGTTTCGTTGCTGTTGACGTTGGTGTGGAAGACCAGCATAGACCAGCCCGTTCTGAGCAAGTCTTGGGAATAGCCAGCCTTGGTGATTTTGGTGCTTCTATCGCACCACATGGTCTCCCAAGTCCAGTCAAGACGAGGATGTCCACCAAGCCTAACACATCCTAACACTCTTCCTGGAATGGGCGGGCAGTGTCATGACGTGATTTGCCTTGCTTTTTGGAGCAACAATTTCTGACGCTTGACTCTGAACTCCGCTTGACGAGGGTTCCAGGAAGACTGCCACCGAAGAACGACAAGACCATAGAACCCCCTTCTGCGCTGAGTGCTGTCAGGAAGATATCACCTTCATCGATGACCCCAACTGGGATCAGCCCGGGTCTGAGGATAGAAGCCACTGATTGGATTAAAGCGTGTCAAAGACATCAGGTTAGACTGGTCTTTGGTGGATTGATGAATGGCTACCAGCTACCATAATGATCCATAATATACACTTTCATGATCTTTCATGCATTTCCGCGCAAGGTGTTTGTTCTTGGAAACAAATCATGTGAGGCTTTTGCCACGCCCTATCCAGTCGATTGACACATCACGACTCTGGATTCTGGCTGCCTTTTGCTCGATGCGTTCTCTATTTATTGGCGCAGTTGGTAAAATTGCCAGGTCCGCAGGTTTGATGATAGTAGAGTATGGTATGGTCGTGTGGTATAGCAGCATAGCTAGTATATGCTAGTATGGTATGTATGGCCGGGTATTGTCTAGGAGTCTAGTATCTTATAGTATGTTTGAAAATTTCAGCTTCAGATAGGTATATGCGGTATCATCTATCAAGCGATCTTACGGTACTTTACCCTATCAGTCTTCTGAAGCACCAGAAAGCTCTCAAAACGCCGAGGTTCCCAGAGGTGGGACAGGCGCTGAAACCTCACTCTCAAGTGGAGGCATCACGGTGTGGCATGGAGTGGGGAGTATGGTTTGGTGACGCGCATGGCAGGGTTTGCTCGTGGGTGCATGCACATTGACTGCAACATTGGAAGGCCAATTAGTCGCATGGACTCCATGTTCCAGTCGTGAAGGCGACCAAAGGGGCAGGGATCAAGAGCCAGGCGGCCTCATGATGCCTCATGCAGAGAATGAGATCTGACATGAGATACTGGCTCTGTATAGCCTTTTGCATTTTGCATTTGTTGGACTGCGGCTTCAAACTTTAGGAGCCAATTCAGCTCTCCACTTGCAGCAACCTGGGCGGCAGCCCTAGATAGGACCAGGGAACGAGAGGGCACTGCTGGAGAGCCTAGGACTTTCACTCTATTGGGCACACAGCAAGTCGTAGAAGTAATCACTTGCATCAGGCTGTTGGCCATAGAGGAACAGTGATGAGTTGATTTCTTAAAAGGAAGAAGATGGAGCAGAAAGACCAAACGAGGAACGTTGGAGTGATCAGTTGCCCGAGATGTGTGGTCGCGGCTCCAGTAGCTGCAGCTGACACATGTTTTCAACGCAGGGCTGTACGTCAACAATCGCCAACAAACCTTACAAGACCTACTGTTTTAGTCCGGAAGCCCCCGAGAGTCAAGCCGTTTGTTTTTTTTGTGTGTGGATCACCTGCCGAGGTTGTTGGGGTGTGGGAGTTGGCCGGACGCCGTGAGGGACCCTGGCCGGTGGTCTTTATGCGAGTTGGCTCAGGAAGAAAGAGGAAACAGTCAAAAAGTTCGTATGCGACAACAGCAAGCAGCCCATGATTAGCCGGGTTTTCTTGTTTGTTGCTTGGCGTTGTTCCAGCCAACGGGCACCCATTTGCCCATGCCGAAACCCAATCATTCACAAGCTGTTACGCCAGTCAGGAGATACAAAGTTGAACCTTCACAATATTCCGCGTTTGTGCTTCCTTGATTCCTTGCATGTCATTTGCGGTTGGATTGGACTGGCCAAGTGCCAAGTGCTATCACATGCTATATGATTATATATCACCTATACATGGGATTGCAGTCAGACCGGGATCCAAACGGTCACAGGGAGCTACCCTGAAATTTGACAATGGCACAACTAGTAGCAAGTGCACTGCTACTAGTAGCAAGAAGCAACTGCAACCTATTACCCTGGAACCCATTACAAGCTATTTGTTACTCGTAGGGTTCCAGGCAACTTCCCACCGTGCCACACCCCAGGGATGCTCGAAGAGCCACAGCGAAAGTGGTCCGGAAGCGCAGAGGAATGGCCAGAGTCGAGTCGTTTAAAGCGAGTGGAAATCGGAGATGTCTTGTATCTAATAGCAAACATTGTTCCTAGTAGTACGGCCAGGAGCCCCTAGGCCTACCAATACAATCCAATACAGTAGAATCTCTCACGGTGACATTTTTCAACCTCAGTCACTCTCGTGCTGTTTTGGGATGGTTCGGGAATCATCACAACCGATATTGCCAATGCCCTTATACATTATGGTTTTTGGCCTCATCATCGCTTCTGGATCTTGGCAATGACGAGTGGCAATGAAAAGGGCTTGCTCAAACAGGTGACAGAGACAACACGCAAATCACGGCCAACTGATTGAACTGACTGAGCCTTTGGCCATGATCACACTTCTCTTTAGTGTTACTTCGATTGTCCAATAACACCTTTTATATTTTTTTTTATAGCACACACGTATATATATATATATAAATCCATATTTAGCAGATTTAACACATCGTTTGAGTTAGTAATTACAGGGTCACCAGTTGAGTGTGGTGCTTTGTTTTAGGTGTTTGAGTTATGCTTTCTCTTGCTGCAAATTTGCCATGAATGTCTGGTTGTGAAAGCCAACCATGCTTTGAGGAGCCTTTGATTGAACCTGTTCTTAGGCATTGAAGAACTTCACGCTGCAGCGCTGCCCACATATCAATGTTGAGCGTTTTCAGACCTTCAGGGCAAGAGGTGGCAACCATTCCAGTGAATCGGCTCGTGAACGTGAGAGGCTTGAAACAGCACCTGCGTTTGCTTTTGGGCGTGCCCCGATTCAAACAAAGGATCCTTTATCAAGGCTCCGTGCTGGAGGATGAGACTCGATTCTACGCAGACTTGGACATTGAAGTTGTTCTGATTGTGGTGCCCTTCTGCGGCCCGTCTCAAAAGCAACGACACCAATTCCTGAGGGCTGCGATAGACGGCAATTTCTCCAAAGTTGAAGCGATGCTACACCGCCCCCATGATCCAGATTTAGCTGCGGAGAACGGCGATACGGCTCTTCTACTGGCATCACATGCAGGCCATGTGGAAGTTGCTCGTTTGCTGTTGGAGGCCGGTGCTGGTGTGGACATAGCTGATGCAGATGGTGAAACGCCTCTTATTTTGGCATCTGACTTAGGCTCGGTAGAGCTTGTACGTTTGCTGTTGGAAGTCAGAGCTGACCTGGACACATCTGACACAGATGGCGAAACAGCTCTTATTTTGGCATCTGATCTCGGCAGTTTGGAGAGTGTGCATTTGCTGTTGGAGGCAAGCGCCAGCGTGAACATAGCTGACGAGGATGGCAGTACAGCTCTAATAGCCGCATCACATGCAGGCCATGTAGAAGTTGTTCGTTTGTTGTTGGAGGCCAGTGCTGGTGCGGACATAGCAGACACAGATGGTTTCACAGCTCTCCTGCATGCTTGCATTCTTGGCCATGAGGAGGTTGCGTGCTTGCTACTGCGCGCCGGGGCTGACAAGGAGTTTGTGTACAGTCAAGGAACCATTCTCCACCACGCCTCCAGCGCTGGCCATTACAACATCGTACAGTTGCTGTTGAATGCCGGAGCCGACAAGTTTCGACGATACAGCCGCAAAGCTTGGATGCATGCGATTGAAAGGGGCCACGAAGAGATTAGCAATCTGCTGTTGTCCAGCACTTGTCATGGTTGGGACTGGCGTGCCATTATCAGGAACATTTTGCGGTGGAGATGATTCAGAACCCCAAAGATTTCCTGTGGTTCTGGTGCTGTGGGATCCCCATAGTCACCGTCGGTGTGCTTTCCACAGATCTTGATGACCTTTTCGCGTTGATTGCAAGCATGAGCTGCCTCGCCCAAGCCATCCCCAGTCCAACTCCCCTGACGGCCTTTTGCCGATGCGAACTTACAGTGGCACGACTCCTGTGGGAAGCATATTTCGGCAGATTGTTGGTGCGTGAGGAAAAATCAAGCTGGCAGTGGCCGAGAGGCCAACGATGAACCCTCCTCACATCTCCTCGCCCGCAACTGTCCTTATCCAGGCTGGACACAAGCAAGCAATGGGTCCACTAGTGAAACCCTTAAGTTGACCAACGGATTTGTTCTATTGAAGTTGGGGCGGGGTCAAGAACATTCAAGAACACCCCAACACCATAGGACAATCGTTTGATGACAGGGCTTGGGCCTTCAACGTCTCAGACTTAAAAGGATCAAAAGCCTCCAATTCAAGATGGTGTGCCGCATCGCACCTCTTTGAGGGATTGATTCACCACGGTCACTGTGTGTAGCTATGCGATCGGAGCGACCAGGTCACTGTGTGCGTTTCGGGTGCCAAGGCAGTAGCGGCCATGATTGCCCTCAAGGCCGCGGTGTCCAGGTTGATTCTCAATGGAAGAAACTTAAACATCCAAACCACCACACAAGGGCTTGTTCTAGAAGATACTTCTTGGGATCAGGTTGACCCAGGCTGCTGGCTGAAACCAGTTGTGCGGGGGGGTGGCTTTCATCATGAAAGTTCGCGCAAAAGCCAGCTGGAGTTTTTTGGGTGAGGGAACCTTTGGAGCTATTCTACATATGTTTTGTCAGTGATTGACCAGAAAGTTGGCACAACCTCTGGAGGCCCAGGGGTGTCAAAGGTATTCAAAGCTGTCAACGAGCAGGAACATTGTGAGCAAAATAACCCTTCCCCCCAAAAGGGACAACGTCCAGCAAGACAGGGCAAGCAAGCACAATAAGCAGCCAAGGGAATCTCACCAGCAGTGATGCAGAACAATATGCAATCAAAAGGTTTTATGTTCGACGTTCCCATATTGATTTACACAGAATACATGTGGATGTGATGTTCACCCACCTTGATGCAGATTAAGTCATCGTTTACGACTAGCATTTTGTGCATCATTCAGTCCTTTGATTGGCCGAAAGGAATGTCTGGACCATGCAAGTTGAACACCCCCTTGATCACATATTTTGCTGCACACCTTCTGCAGCTAAAGACTCACCCATTCAACAAAAACAAAGTATATATATATATAGTGCTCTTCAAGCCTTGCACCTTGCCATCTCTTCATCTCTGTATATAAGGCAAAAGATTGCAACATATGTCAGCCCTTCGAAACTCTCCTTGGAACAGCAAAGACACCGATGTTTCGCCTCCGTCATCTTCGCGCCTCGCAGGCCGCGGAGGTGGGGGAGGTGCCGGATTTGTCGTCGCATCCCGACTTTGCCGAGTTCGTCCCGGCACCGAGGGCGAAGTGAAAGTTGGCTGGGTGGAGTTGGTCGTTTTGGGGTGGAAGTAGGTCAGGGTTTTGAGAAGTGGGTGAAGGTAGCTCATGTTGCTGGTGTTTTGCATTCCGCCTGTCATGCTACTAGTAGGTCAGGTGATGGGTAAGCTAGAGGCTTGCATTGGCATCATTAAGCCAAAACCGAAGGTCGTGTGTGGGTCCCAGGGCGTTAAAGCAGGGTGCATGGCAGCAGCTTGAGACAGCTTTGGCCAGAGAGGCATGATGGTGGGGCGGATTTGGAAGACAATGCTCGTCGGTCGAAGAGACAAGTACTGTAGTCACTGGGAGACATGTGGAATAGCTGCACGAAGGCAGAGCACACCAATTTAGGGTGTTGAGCTACAGTTCTTTTGCAGATTGGACCCCGAACACCACTGTGGTAGATGAAAAGAGCCTTACAAGGGTCCATTTTCGCAGTCCATGTTATGTTGGTGGGGCAGTTGGTCTCCTGAGGTTGCCTCTGTCCAGCCTCCGATCTGAAGCAATCCTTGTGATGCGACTTGGACCAGATAGGACAGGTTGGACACGGATCAAGCCAGGTGGCTTGGTCATTCTGGGGTGGATGGGGGCTCAGATGAAAGTACGGCTGGTGCTTAGTTGGAAAGATGACGTCCGTGACAAATAGCCAGCGGATGCCAGCGGCAGAAGAATTTGGAAAAAGACAGGTGTTTTTTGTCGCCACGATTTGGAGCTAAACTCTCTCCAAGTCGGCTAGGTGTGTGCTCAAGAGTTCTGCAAAACTGGGGTTAGTAGTGAGTGGAATGCGATGTTAGGCACTTGCTGCATCGATGATCCTGTTGAACGAGCGTTTTGACTGCATTTTAGAAAACTCAGGAACTCAAAAAACAATCTTAATTTCACAGTTGGACTATGAGAATGGGACAGGTTTGAGTCCAAACGGCTTGGCCGCTTCCTAATGGAGAAGGGCACTCTTTGAGCGCAACCTGGTGAAATTTAGGTGGACTGGTAGGTTTTTGTGTGGACTCTATGGTGCAGGAGGCCATGCAGACGTGCGCTCTCTTTATATTGGCATGAAGTTGAACATATTTTGTGTGCTCAACTCTGCTAACAGAACTTAAGCATATTGCGCACGTGTTGCTGAGTACCAAACAAGGGAAACAAAAATGTGTTCAGTCCACTGGTATGCAGGGTGAAGCCCTCATTTGCCAATCCCCTAAGACCCAAACATCACAAAGGTTTGGATTACTGTAGTAGCGTCCTTTGTTCCTAGTAGCGATGCCAGCCCCTAGTAGCTTCTTGTTACTACTAATGGGGTTGGATTGCAGTTCCGAGGATTGCCCGTGGTGAGCGCTGCTCGTTGCTGGTAGAGAGGAGACTCAGCCAAAGACCTCAAGTCAAGGACCATCCGCGGACATCCACAGCAGACAAATATAGGCAGATGTGCTGGATTTTGGAGCCTTTGCCTCATATTTAAAGTTTTCTTATGGCAGCCACCTTCTAAATGTAGAGACGCAATTTCACGTATGATCACCAATGGAGGTTCCAAGAATCAAGAAAAGTGATATCGAGAGCCTGAAGACGTTCCATGGTCCTTGCTTTAGCCCGACTGGACCTATCACAGCTATGAAAAAAGCCGGAGTTTCGCGCGTCGCTCGGGCCGTCTAGGTGAACCGTGGGCTTCTTCATTCGCAAGCGGAGGAAGGGGAATCCTAAGGACCTCATGCAAGCTTATGCTTCCTATGCTTCCAAAGGCTATGCATCGCAATGTGTATAGACGAAGGGTTCAGATTCGGACTTTTCCAGAACCAAGAATGGACATCTCTCGTCTCGCTCGATGGCTTGGGAATGTTGTGCCGCTGCTATTTTGTTTGGCTGCGCTGCCCCACACCACCCTCAGCGTACAGAAGCGAAATGCTTCCAAACCTGCTTGATTGGTGGCATACCCATAATATTATATATAGCCGTAGTCAACACAGGCATGGCTTCCCTCAATCTTGTAGAGCTGCATTTTCGTTTTGTACCTGAAAGGTCCTGTGGCTTTAAGCATCCACTGAACTATATATGTTTACTCCGCTTGAGGCGTACTGATCTTCGGCAGCTTTTAACATTTAGCCAGCTTGTTGTTTTGGAACAAGTTCTTTGGCATGAGCAGCAGCACGTCTCCACAAAGAGAAGCCCCCCGTCCAGTCGCAGATGTCATATGAAGTCATCTTCTCAAATTTCAATCACACTTCCACGTCTCCGTTGTGTCGCGGCGCAATGTTGGCTAGCCCCGCTTACCAGAAGCAGTGCCTCACTGCACCTGCCAGCCGCCTCAGAGCTGGCCTAGGGCTGGGTGACAGCGGAAGTTGCGATTGACCATGAACAAAGGATGTTAAAAACATTGATCCTTTTTGCGATTGATTTCCTTTCATCTCCTTGTCTTCTTTCATTAATCTCCTTTCCATACTTTTTCTACTGTAGATTGAATTTTGGAGGTCACAGAGTCCAAGCAGGCCAATGGTGCTGGGGCTTCAAGCAAACTCTTGGGCTGGCCCGACCAGCAGATCACGTGATATCATGTGCATCACTTAGGTCCAGCCATCCATTGTTTGGGGCTGTGGATTTTCTGCCACCTGGCGATGATGCTTTGTTTTTGCAATGTGTTGCGTCCGACTTGGGAACGTGAGCGGGGCCTGCTGTAAAGATGATGGGTCCTACATGGCTCAGGTAGACAGGTGGCAATGATGGAGGCTGTACGCCCTTTGAGCCCCCAGTGAGGGGAATGGAAGGTCCGAAACCACACAGTTTAGAAACTTTAGACACTGATTGGCATTTCAGTTGTTTGGGGTTGGAGAGTTGGAGATTTGCTTACAGCTCTCCAAGCTTGGGCGTGACAGGGATTGTGGGGCTTTGACCCTTCCACTGGAGTGGAGATGATTTGCTGGCTTTGCCCGGAAAAGGGTTGTGTTCGAAGGCCTCCTGTACAGCGGAAAAGTGTTCTCCGAGAAATGTATTTTTGAGTTCTCCGGTTTGCTGGCAACATGTTTCTTGACCCCAACGCCGATAGAGAATCGGTTCAATGGCAGTTCGATGTTATCAATCCGAGGCGCGGCAAAACCTGAGGCTCTAAGCGGCTGAAGTGTACAAACACCGACGACTGTGACTGACCCACTCTTATGATGGACTCTGAACCTTGTATCATTTGTGTGACCCTCCTACATCATCCATATATTTCAAATATTTGCTAAGTGTCACGGTCCCAACTTGGCCAGTTTACTCCGAAGTGGGCCCCTGCCAAGACCATCGAAAAACCTCTCCCATCTCCAAATCGCCAGACCGTGTGCTCCTCCACTGCACCAGCACACGCTGACGTGCCAGGTCATCAATGTCCTTCAAGGCGCTCCCTTTTCGCCAGCGCTGGTGGTCTGGGCCTCAACCCCTGGGCGAGATTCGAGCGCAGAGATGAGCAAGAGATGTTTGGAATGGCCTATCATGGCCTGGCCGCGTTTCTAAAGAAAACTCTTGCGGCTGGCTGGTCGATTCACGGACGTGGCGTAGTCGCGCTTACTTTGCTAGCATCCCAACAATGGTCTCTCTAATATGCCCCTGACGTATTGTGAGTATAAGCGTTACCCAGTGAGACGCAGACCAATTTTCATCATGCAATGTGGTGGCAGATGCTTGCTGGGACATGCCCATGGATCCTTATGATCATTTGGCATAGCCAGGCCTTGAACTGTGGACTTCTTTATGCCTATCATGCCCTGCAGTGTCCCATGGAGGCCCTCCATGGCTGCCCTGATGCAGAAAGTGGATCAGGGCTCCATTGGGCGGGTTACAGGTTAGATCGTGGACCACCCTTACTGTTGGCATCTACGTGGTAGTGGAGGGGGTTCCACCGAAGTCTTCCATTGGTGAGAATTCTACTCGAGAACTTATCGGTCCTCGAAGTAGATGAGATGCATAACCCCAAGCTGCCAACAATCTAGTGATCCAGAGGCCTTGATCGAAGTTGCCTACGCACGTTGGTTTAACCGAGAGCGACAATTAAGCTGGATGCTGGATGCTGGCCATGCTGGCCCACTTAAAGATGTTCGGGGAAGATTAACATTTGCGAGAGGGGGGTTTGGTCCAAGCAATTGTATCCATGCAGACGCCCATCACCTGCGCATGCGTGGCTGGCATGAATGGCACGAAGCTCAAGTTCACAAACACACTTGCTTGCGTCAGCTCTGATGTCAAGCTGAAACACCTCAGCCAAATGTGCTGAACTATCCAAGAACAGCCTTCAGTTCAAAATGACCAGACCTGCAACGTTTCAATCGGACTTAAGAAAAATCCTTCCAGCCTAAGAAACCTGCAAGTCCTATGCCCATCTCTTTGAAAGAGAACTGTCATCGGCACCGCGTCTTCATGGGCTGTCATTGGCCAATCAAGACACCACCCAGAGACCATGCAACACCAGTCAAGCTTTCTTTCAACAGCTTTCAACTGTTTCTTGCAAAGAAGGGATAAGTTCTTGGCTTCCAATGGCCTCAAGCCAGCTCAACAACGCATCAACAAAGTGCCCGTTGCGCTTCCGCCGCTGCAATGGGCCTTAGGGCGTGAGGCGAAGACGACATCCAGTCGCTCACCGACGGTGAACTACGTTGAGATGGCGCAGGCCTGGGAGGATTTGGAGCTGAGCCTGGTGAAGCAAACCAATGGCCACTGGACACGAACCGGACCAAAAGGCTTCAAGAGATGTCAAGAGATCTGGACGGGCCGGGATTGAATGGATACTTGTATGCCATGATATGCCTACAAATCACGGGGTCTTGGGCTTTCGCCACAACGAGTGCGATCCCATTTGTTTGTAACATGGAACGCTCTGCCGCAACCCCAAGCTAGAGGCAATTCTCGATGCATCTCCAACTCGGTCTTGACTCGGAAGCCCTACGGTTAGCCGTGCCGTGCCCAAGGTCATTCTCCAAGCTTGCCCTCAGATTGGGCGCGCGATGGGAATGGATTGAGTTCATCGGTGAGGTCTCCGTTGGTGGGGCAGCCGGAGATGGAGGTCATTGATTTGAGCCATACTTGCTACAATCTCATCTTCGTGAGTGGGACACTTCTCTCAGAAAAACTGATTTAATTATATATAGTTCCTGGTCCTTATAGCCGAATCTTTGCCTCACGTGAGGTCTGAGGTGATCCATCGGTGTTCTATGCTCAAGTGTAGATCAATGGCAATGCCATTGGGTAAGTCGATGACGCGAATTCATGTTTCGATTTAGCCTTGGCGGTTCATGTATGCATACAGTAAAAGTATGTAAAAGTATACGCAATCAAAGATTTGTAGTGTGTGCTATTGGCGGTTGCGCCTCATCCCTGATGTAAAGGTGCCCTCGTGAATTTCACAACTTGACCTACACATGTCCAAGAGCGAATATAAGTATGTGAAGCTTTCCTTTCTGCTTGTGGCACGTAGGAATGCCAACAAACCAGAGCTGGCTGATATTGGCTGATATACGTTATATTAATATATGTGTTGTTTGTGTGTGTGTGGTGCGGGGACCTTTAAAGCATCCAATCACCAACCGAAACCATTTTGCCAAGGAAAACCAGCGTGCTGGCGCCCATGCTGGCTGTGGCTGTCGGGCAGTTCGGGATGCTTTGGATCGTTGGCTGGAGCTCTCCGGAGAATCCTGCCCGAGAGAAAAGGGCAAATCAGAGCCACTAGTAGCGTCCTTGCTCCTAGTAGTAAGGCCAGGAGCCCCTAGTAGCTTCTTGTTATTAGTAGCTTCTTGCTCCTAGTGGCGACGTCCTTGAACCACTCTCCATCCAGCCCATCAGAACAAACCTGAAGTTCTGCAGTTCGGTTGTGAACTTGGGGATGGATGAACACTGTGCCAAACGCCTACCGAATTGATAAAGTTCACATAAAACGGAACGTGTTTTGAACTTTTGTATAGCCATCAAACATCTTTTGTTGGCAATTGTTGCGCAAGGAGCCGGCTGATACAGAACAGGCCGGGCAACTTAAGCACACCTTTGGAAATGACGCAGCAAGTTGGAGCGTAGGGAGGCATAGGATGGCCAGGCCCTGCCCTCATACTGAGAAAGAACACCAGCTGGCTTGAACAAAAATCAACACCTTCTGGATGAAGTTGGAAGCTCGAAGTGGTAAGGTATTTCTTCGAGAGTGGCCAGTGGGTGGTCCCCATCAGCGACTACTGGACGGTGAATGCCATGAAGTGTCTCTCGATGTTGCTGCCCCTGGGCTGGAAACGAGGGAGAGAGGGTAGAAATGGGAAGAATGCTTTCGTTCAACTTGGAAACCACTATGCCTCCCCAATGTCAAAGGAATTAAGGATTAGGTGATGTATTGCTGCACAAATTCTTATTTGCCAAGCGAGCATGTCAAGGCCCTCGTGAATGCTTGTGGTCCTTTTGGCGGTTGCCTACATGAGACATGAGTTGCGACAACTCCTTATGCAACACTGGAAGGGCTGTGAAATCTGAAGCTGTCCTATTTACTGCAAGCGGGGGCAAATCAACGGGCACGAGCACATCCAACAGTATTTGCGACAGCTCCTTTTCCAACCACCAGGTTCCACAGAATGGGTCGCACATGGTCGCACCTGTCACCGTTTCACCACCAGTCATCTCCAAGGACCTTCTTCCGAGTCAGTGGGGAGTTCAAAGATGCGGCCAAGCTCTACAGAGTCTTAGCCCACCGCCCAGCGGTCCACATGACGCTGCAGCAGCGCATTTTGGGCACCGGGGCCTTCCTTTTACAATACATTGCGGCTTTACGGCACGACGCTAGGGATATATACAACATCTAATACCGATGGTTTTGGCCATTGTGTATCATTGTGTCAGATATTTGGTGATGTTTGGTGTGTGTGGGGGGGGAGGATGGGTGGGAAGGCAAGAAAAGATGCATAGATAAAACTGAACTGATTCCTGATCAATTGTAATCTTTCCCAATGCTGTTCAACTTACACTAAGTGGACAATTCTGTCTAGGTGCTCGCAATCACTAAATATATCCAATGGTGATAGTTGCTCAACCTCAAGTCAATCACTATGATGGTGCTTGGTGGCAGAGGCTTGTGATTGAATGTAGGAAGCGAGTTCACATGTTGCCAAAGACTATGTATACTACGAGCTTCTTCATCCCAACTGGGTTTTGCAATCATAACAAGTATATAGATATATAAATACTTATTATATCTATGTTTGTTATACAGTATACAATACAAACAAAGACGATATATTAGTAGTATTAGCGCTAATTCAATCCAAGTGGTTTGACAGCATCCTTTTGGGCACGGCACTCCTTGATCAACCCCAACGAAGGGGCTGCAACAGCAAGATGGCACCAGGTGGCAGTGGTGGTGGTGTTAATGGCGATCCAGCTCATCCTCACCAGCACCACTCCCATCGCGACCATTGGCAAGCTTTGGGCACTCTGGCAGTGTTTCAAGATCGTGGTTGCCAACACATGGTGTTAGGATGCGTTATGATATGGTTCGTCCCGTTTATCCCATCCCAAGCACTCATAAGTATATTTATAACTATCATGTTTTTTGGGTATCTCCTTACTACAGGTATCATCCCTGCTCCGTGTATTTTCGCTCCAGAACACTCGAGAATTCTGAAACTGCATGGATTTGTGTAGGCGGAGAGGTGAGATGGGTGAGCCACCCTGCTTTGTTGTACCGTCAGCCTAGTTCAAGTTCGGGAGAAATGTGGCTGAAAGGCCACTTCTCTCGCCAAGCCGGATGCGGAGTTTGTGCTAACATGAATGAGTAGTAACAGGTGCACTTGTTTCTACTAGCTAGCTTCTTGTTACTACTAGTAAGGCACCTGTTACTACTAGCGTGGCACTTGTTACTTGTTCAGAAGCAAGATTGCCCAGGTGGTGTTTACGACTCTAGACTTCGACAACTACCTTTGCAGCTTCATCCTCTTCATTTTCGACTGTCACTTGGTGACGATCAGCTTGTGGGTGAGCGGCGGTGCAATACAAGAATCATGAGTATGATTATGAACATATATGAAAATTATCAACTGTCTATCAACTGTTTAGATTCTACATGTTTCTCCAATCCGCTCCAAGAACGGGTCGCGTTTTCCATCCATAAGGTGAACATGCCTTTGACTGGGAAGTGAAGCTCCAGTGCCAGTCACGGCGGCTGTCACCGGAAATGCGGTCCCGAACCTGGCTCCTAATCTATTGGGCTCCAGTCACTGTGGCGGTGCTGTGCGTGGCTTTGTCGCTGCTTGTTCGATGGTTTGGGAGTTTCTCACGCAATTTGGAAGGTTTGGGATTGGGTTTTGAGTCACATGTTGCGAGGCCACAGCTTTACGACCGATCACTGGTTGACAGGACGGTTTCTCTAGACGGTTGGACATCTGGAAGGGCATTCCTCCATCACCGCTTGCTTGTTCACTGCATGTCATGGGCTGCTTCATTTGCGACCACCTTGGTTGGGAAGGGATGAATCTGAGGATTAAAACGATTACCATCAACAAAAGTGACCCTTGACCTATGGAACCTGATCCTGACAATCGTACACAGCAACATCGAGTACGGATTTGCTCAAACCCAAGCAGGGCTTTGATGGCATTTATCATTTGGGACCTCCCAAGTTGTGTCTAGTAAAATCCCATCCCTTAAACCGTTGTATTCGCACCGCCGGCACCTGCTGGAGGCTTTGCTTCAACATTTGCCCACTGACCGTGCTCCACTACGGCGCGGTGTCCAACGCGGATCCAGTGCTGATGCTGAGCAGCACCTTCGGT